AACTGGAGAAAGGAAAAAGAAGTAAGAACAAAAGAGAACTTGTTTTTGCAAATACTGTAGTAATAAATTATAGATTATTGAGAACCATCTTGATATAGTTTTAAGTGCTGGACTAGGACTCTGGAAAACCAGAGTTTGGATCCTTGCTAGACAATCACTGGGTAATCTTGGGCAAGTCACCCTCACTCTGTTTCAGAGGAAGGTGATGGGCTCACCTTGTGGGCACCATAAATTGGAAATGACTCGAAGGCTTACAGTAACAAAGACTGTAGGTTACGTTAACGGAACAAATCAGTAATGGGGAAACTTTGAATCCTTGGCTTTTAAGTGTGTACTAGTCCTGTCTCAAGGACAGCTGTGTTTCATAGATAATGCAATCTCTGCCATTCTGAGCTTCTGGAAATTAAAAATACTGAGTGATCCACCCAGCTGCATGTGGGGAAAAATGTGTGAGCATGTGCAGTGTAATCTGGTGACAATTTGCACACTTGGAAGATGGGTCTTTGGGCAAGAGTGGGGCAGGAGTGTGTGCCCTCTGCCTTCGGCTTGCAGGTGGTTCCTCGTCAGCCTTGGCTCAGATTGGAAAGATGACACTTCCCTTTCTGTCCCCCAGAAAAAAAAGAGGTAGCCTAGATTAGCAGCATTTATGGAAGGGCTGGGCAAAGTGCAACCCTCCAGGTGTTCCTGGAATGCAACTTCCAGCAGCCACTAGCCAGGATAGCCAACAGCGAGGAATATTGGGAATTGCAAAACAACAACAACATCAGGGGAGGACTGCATCATTCTCAATGTAGGTCTATGGCAGTGGGACCCTGTCATCAAACCAGTGGGGGAAATGGGCCTCAGTGAGTGTGATGTAGTGGTTTGAGTATTGGACTCTCAGTGTATGACTCTGGAGACCAGAGTTCAGTTCCTTGCTCAACACTGAAATCCACTGGGTGACTTTGGGCAAGTCACGCTCTCTCAGCCTCAGGGGAAGGCAAGGGCAAACCTCTTCTGAACAAATCGTGCCAAGAAACCCCTGTGATAGGGTCGTCATAAGTCAGAAATGACTTGAAGGCACACAACAACAACCCCACCACCACCACTCCAGAATCTGTAGACCAGAGGGTCCTAGGCTGCTCTTCGTTTGATTTGAAAACAAAAACAAAACACAACTATGAAGATTCAGTATTTGTGGAGAGAAGGAGGAGTGAAAATAGGAGGAAGGAATATCAGCAGTTTAACATATGCAGATGACACTTTAACACTAGCAGAAAACCTCACAGACCTGGAACAACTACTAAGAAAGATCAAGAAAGAAAGTGCAAAGGCAGGCTTACTGTTGAACATAGAGACAACAAAAACCTTCACAAGTTCAACCTAGACAATGAAGAAATAGAAATAGTAAAAGAATTCCCATACCTGGAATCAAACATTGATAGAAATGGGGACTGCAGTCAGAAAATCAGAAGAAGACTAAGAATGGAGAGGGTGACAATGAAAGAACTAGGAAAGATTCTAAAATGCAAAGATATACAACTCAGAACAAAAGTTAGAATCATTCAAGCCATTGTATTCCCTATTAGCATGCATGGATGTGAGAGCTGGACAAATAAGAAAGAAGATAGGAGGAAAATCAACGCATTTGAGATGTGGTGCTGGAAAAGAGTGCTGACAGGCAAAAAAGACAAGTGGATCCTAGAGCAGATCAAGCTGGAAACCTCCCTGGAAGTCAAGATGACCAAACTGAGGCTGTTGTTCTTCGGACACATCATGAGAAGAGAGGACTCTTTGGAAAAAACAATAATGCTGGGAAAGGTGGAGGGAAGTAGGAAGAGAGAAAGGCCAGATGCCAGATGGATGGACTCTATTAAGGAGGCCATGGGTATTAAGGGGCTGCAGGATTTAAGCAGAGCAGTGGAAGACAGAGGGTCTTGGAGATGTCTCATCCATAGGCTTGCCAGGAGTTAAGATCCACTTGAGGGCAGTGAACAAAAATTCTTTTTCCTCGTTGAATGTGTGAAGGAAAACCCACTGAGTAAAATTTAAAGCAAGAAGGAGAGGGAGCCACACCCCCTAAATAAACAAACAAACAAACCCTGATTAAAATGCTGTAGTTTGTGTTGTTGCTGTGTGCCTTGGACACCTAATCATGGGCTTTTCTTGGCAAGCTGTCTTTGTTTACCAAGGAATATAGAGATGTCGCCTGGAGCCTTACCCACATGATGGGCTCCAGACTAAGTCCATGAAAGCTGCACGGGTGCAAGGAACCCAAGAAGGGCCTGAATGGGCCAAGAAAGGCAACCGGGGCAGGCAGACTCTATCTTTTAGGTCTGCAGTGCAAAAATAATCCAGTTTGACATCACTTTAATTGCCAGGGCTCAGTGCTATGGAATGCTGGGATGCGTAGTTTGTTGTGGCACCAGAGCTGTGCTGGTTGGCTCTTGAGGTCCCTTCCAACTCTATGATTCGAAGAGTGGACTAAAATGCAATCACAATATGCAGATACACTGAACAGGTGTGACAGGTGCCTTCCCCCAAAGCCTTACATGCTTTTTTTAATTTTAAAAAAAGACAAAAGGAAACAACAATGGAAAGGGTAAACAAGGGCTAAACACCCAATGCTTTCAATAGGTTCTTGACCCAGAGTTCTGGTGCCACAACAAACCAGCTCCGCTCTGGTGCCGCCACAAACTACAAACCCCACAATTCCCTAGCATGGACCCCTGGCTGCTCCAGCGACGCCAAAGCGGATCACTTCTGCAGTGCGGAGGCATCTGTCAAGAAAGCCAGGGCTTTCTTTTTTGAGAGGGAGTGCAAAGTCTCACTCAGCAGGGCTGTCGGGAGACAGAGAGAATGAGAGAGAGAGAGAGAGAGAGAGAGAGAAGGCTCAATGCCTCACATTACTACAATTCCCAGAATTCCCTAGCCTGGAGCCACTATGGCCGTCGAAGTGATGTCAAACCGGATCATTTCTGCAGTGCGGATGCAGCCTCCACCCTGCCTCCCTCTCCTCCCTGCGGTGCCCAAGAACTAAGCGTCCATCTCTCTCCTTGCTGGGTGCCTGACTTCCTCCTCCTCCTCCTCCTCCTCCTCCTCCTCCTCCTCCTTTTGTCCTCCAGCCTCCTCCCTTTTTTGGGGGGGATCGGGCCAGGCCTGGGAGCCGGTGTGGGGCCGTGGTCCTCCCCAGGGTTTTAGGGCAAGGCAAGGCAAGGCAAGGCAAGGCATGACATCACCCTCCAAGCCACCGAGGCGAGAGGCAGCCAAAGAAGGATGCTGAGAAGGATGCTGAGAAGGATGCAGATGCTGAGGATGCTGCAGCAGCAGAGATCGCCAAGGAGACCCAGCGCAGCGGATGCTCCCTCCTTCCTCCTCCTCCTCCTCCTCTGCTAAGTAAGCCTTGCCAGCCCCCCACGGATGGTTCCTGGGTGGGGGAGGCGAGGGGACCCTCCGCGCAGCATGCCCTGGGGAGTGGGCATCGCCTCCTCCCGGTCCTGCGTGGTGGACCTCAGCCGGAACCAGAGCCTCTGGTGCTCCGAGGAGGAGCCCTTCTCCTTCTCCTTCTATGGGGAGATCCTGGCTTTCCCCCTCCACGATTACGGCGGGATCATGGCCGGGCTGGGCTCCGACTCCTGGTGGAAGAAGACCCTCTACTTGACCGGGGGGGCCCTCCTGGCCGCAGCTGCCTACCTGCTCCATGAACTCCTGGCCATCAGGTGAGAGAGGAAGGAAGGAAGGAAGGAAGGAAGGAAGCAAAACACCGGGTGGGGTGGGTCCTTCCCTTGGGACACACATACAGAGAGAGAGAGAGAGAGATGCCCAATGGCACCCCAAGGGCATCAGGAGGGTTGCTTGGTCCTTCAAAGCTTCCTGGGAGGGAATGGGGGCTCAGAAGTAAAGATCATCATCAGTCCCGCCAGGAAAATCCTACACATCTTACTGGGAGGGGATGGGGCACCAGCCATGATGCCTTGGCCCAACAGTGGAGGTCATCATCAGTCCTCCCAGGAAAATCCTACAAAGCTTACTGGGAGGGATGGGGACACCAGCCATGATGCCTTGGCCCAGCAGTAGAGATCATCATCAGTCCTGCCAGGAAAATCCTACAAAGCTTACTGGGAGGGGATGGGGGCACTAGCCATGATGCCTTGGCCCAGCAGTACAGATCATCGTTAGTCCTGCCAGGAAAATCCTACAAAGTGTACTGGGAAGGGATGGGAGCACCAGCTATGATGCTATGGCCCAACAGTGGAGGTCATCATCAGTCCTGCCAGGAAACCCCCCCCCCCAAAAAAAAAAAACAAGAGCCCTGGGCCTCCTCCTCCTCAATTCCCTTTCATTGTATATGATAGCCCTGGAAGTGATACCCAAGGGCCAACTAGTCCAATTTGCCACCAATGGAAGAAGGCACTACTAAGTTAACCCCCCTTCCCCCCCCAGAGGGAGGCATCCAAGCTCAGAAAGGGTCCCTGTCTGGGAGAAAGGCGGCATACAAGTGGCATTAATAAATATTAACCTTCAAGCCGTTTTGGGCCATTGCCACTGAGAATGGAGGCCTTCCTCTGAAAGGAGGTTGGAACTAGTCTCAGCTGTCAGCAGGCTCAGTGTGAAATACTTGACCATATACTTTAATATATAGGCTGCATTTCTGACACTGGGTGAATGTATTGTGGGACTAAGGAAGGAGAGCTTCTTAAACCATTGCTGTTTCTTACTTACGACAAGGCCTACACAAATAAAAATGTGGATTGTACACCTCTGATAAAGAACAAAGGCCATTGTTTATGCCTATTGTGTTTTTAGATACTTGAAGGCATACAACAACAAGAACAAGAACAAGGTGAGCATATCATGATTTGTTCGCCTTGTTGTTGTTGTGTGCCTTCAAGTCATTTCTGATTTATGGCAACTCTAAGGCATGGGATTTTCTTGGCAAGATCTGTTCAGAGGAGGTTTGTCATTGCCTTTCCCTGAGGCTGAGAGCATGTGACTTGCCCAAGGTCACTCAGTGGGTTTCATGACTGAATAGGGAATCGAACCCTGGTCTCCACAGTCATAGTCCAGCACTCAAACCACTATGTAATCCTGGCTTTCTATGGTCCAAAACACACTGCAGAAATAATCCAGTTTGAGATCGGTTTAACTGCCCTGGCTCAATGCTAGGGAATCCTGGGAATTGTAGCTTTGTGAGCCATTTAGCCTTCTCTGTCAGAGAGCTCTGGTGCCACAATAAACTACAGTTCCCAGGATTCCCTAGCACAGAGCCAGGGCAGTTAAAGTGGTCTCAAATTGGATTATTTCTGCAGTGTGTTTTGGACCTTAGTTCACCTTAGGGTTGCCTTAAGTAAAAAATGAATTAGAGGCTCACAGCAACTACAAAATAGCACACTATTGATTCACAATTTAAAAACAACAACATGATCTCTCCTAACTTGCAGGGAGATTTTGTGTTCTGGTTGCAAATAATTTGATATGATGTGGGACAGTCAAATAATAATATTGGCTAGGTGTAAAGGATGAATACCCACTGGGAAATTCTTTCCCACAAAATGTATGGCAGCTAAACATGAGCACTATCTTGTGGACTGGGTCCATTATCTATATGCACCCAGATTCTTTGGTTCATTTCAATTGTGCTTAATGCATTAAGCGTAATGAGAAATGTATGCCAGTGTTACATTCAAAATGAAAAGTATAAGTGTATGGGGAGGCAGGGTGAGATCAAGTATAGTTTTCCCTTAAGATTTTTCATGAGATTGGTAACACTTCCATCAAGCCACACTGCTACACACATTTTAGATATGACTTTTGCCCATAATGTGTGGCTTTCCAGGTGTTATTGGACTGCAATTCCTATGCATCCTAGCCAGCATTGCCAATGGACAGTTGTCCAGCAGCATCCGGATAAGGGAATTTATAGTAGAGTAACATCTGAAAGTCACTCATTTGTTCTCCATCCCTTCTCTTTGATTGTATGATCATTTTGAGTCTCAGTATAGAGCCAACATGGCATAGTGGTTTGAGTGTTAGACTATTACTCTGGAGACCAGGGTTTGATTCTCCGCTTGGCCATGAAACCCACTGGGTGGCCTTGGATACGTCACATGCTCTCAACCTCAGGGTAAGGCAATGGCAAACCTCCTCTGAACAACTCTTGCCAAGAAAATCCTGTGATAGGTTTGCCATAAGTCAGAAACGACTTGGGCACACAACAACAACAATAAAACTCTTACTAATTGCAGGCCACTGGAACTTCCCATAAGGCAAACCTTGCCTTTTCTCTCCTCCTTCCTTTTAAAAATCTGAGTAGATTTCTAGGGGAATTTGAAAATTTGCTGAATGCTTTGATGCTTTACTAAAAGACATTAGCTGGTTGTTCTTTGCTTTTCTTCCTTTACATTGCTTGGACCAGAATAACAGTCTTCACCTGTAACTAGTGTATGTAACTAGCGATATCCCTAAGTTTTTGTTTGTATTTTGTTAGACAGTGCAATGCAAAAGCTGAGAACAAGAGTCAAGCCAACACATCTTTATCCAGTAGTTTAGTTACAAACCAGCATCAGCCCAGTAATTCATTAAAAAACAAAGTTGAATTCTCTGGAAAAATATTCCCTGTTTGTTGCTGCTCAGCTAAGGTGGTTTGTTGTCTAAAACTGTAGCTTTTTAGTCCAGTGTTTTAGGCTTTGTAGTCTTCTGAAAGACAAAATCCTTCCAAATATAATATGTGGCATATCAAAATCTATGTATATCTTTATGTATTTGCATATTAATTTCATATTTAGCAATCTTGCCTTCAATATGTATCTGACTAATGGTGACCCTAAGACAAAGCTACCAAGGGGTTTTCTTGGCAAGATATATTCAGAGTGGGGTTGCCTTTGCCTTCTGAAGCCAAGAGAGTGTGACTTGTCCAAGGTCACCCAGCAGGTTTCCATAGCTGAGTGGGCATTTGAACCCTGGTCTCCAGAGTCCTAGTCTAACACTCAAATCACTACACCACACATTATCAGTCTTATTGTACAGATATTATAAATATATATACTGATATTATACTTATTATTATAAAAGATCTAGCAAGAGTAAGATTTTTTTCTCACCCAGACTTTAGAGCTAATTTATTTGATGCAAATCTAAGGAAGATCCATATGACTAAACAGATAGGAAGATAAAGGTAAAAAAAAGGTATTTAGGAAAACATTGTTGTATGCCTTCAAGTCATTTCCAGCTTATGGTGACCCTAATGCGAACCTATCATCCCCACCCCAAATATTAAACGTTACATGATCGCCATGTGCTGCAAATAGCTGTCTTACTCCAAAGTGTTTTGGGAAAAGAAGCCCCAACTTTTGGAAGGGAGAGAACTGTCCAGTTGGTAGTTGTCTTTATTTGATGTTTCATTAACTGTAGGGTCTTCCAAGTGGCAGTGACATTGTCTTTGGCCCCAAATGTAACATGATAGGTAAAGAGAAGTAGAGTTTGTGCTTAGAAGGGACCTATTCTACTTCAGAGAGGGAAATTATGTTGCCATATCTTGTTTGCCCATTGCTCAGTGACAGCTCATGGCTTCCTTATCTGTGGGACAGTGAACCTGCTCAATGTTTTAGTACAAACTTTAAAGATTTATTCAAAGTGCTGAACTCTAGATTTTCAAAACTGTCTCACAAACAGGTCTAGCATTATGGATAGCTCCTTTAAAATTTGGATTAAAACAGAGTGGATTCACCAGCACACTGACATGGAAACTACCAGCTGCCATTGCACCTCCTTTATCAACACTGTGCATGACTCTGGCCAAGAGGATACATAGGCTGAGGCAACAGCTGGGACTTTGTAATGCAAGCGAAGATCATAGCCATTGGTAATTTCATATCACCAATATAATATTGATACCCTTCAACCTTTGGGCTTGATGGTTTTAAATGCATGGCCATTCTGAGAATTCAGTAAACTGAATTTGACTTATTTGAGACAGACTAGATGGGTTTATTTTATATGCTTAGTCCACTTATACCCCACAATATATTCCTCCAAGAAGTTGCTGACAATCTATGTTGTCCCCTTCTCATTTTTATCTTCACAACAACCTTGTGAGGTAAGTTGCCTTAAGATGTAATGGCTGACCATCAATCTGAGAGCTTTATGACAGAGTATTTTACGGATTCAAACTTGCCTATGTTCCAGTCCTAGTTTGATACTGTAAAAAAGCTGGTTTTCAGTGGCCACACCAGTATCTTTGCAAAGGAATTTGTTTTTGTTGTGTGCCTTCAAGTAGCTTCCAACTTAGGATGGCTTAAGGTGAACCCATCACAGGTTTTTCTTGGCTAGATTTGTTCAGAGGGTGTTTGTAAGACTATACAGTACTCTTGAAGAAGACTCACAGTTCCCATACTGGAAACTGTTGATCAGTCAGTATAACAAAATAATATAATATTGTCATAGACTATTTCTGTGCATAGGGTAGTTCTAGACATGTCTATTCAAAAGTAATTCCCACTGAATTCAATGAGGCTTATTCCTAAATAAATGTGCATAGTGTTGCAATGGTAATTTCTTAATGCAGTTACATTTGCTGTAGCTTCAGAACTTTTCAGTTACTTGCAGGGATATGTGAGCTCAGAATTGCTTGTTTAAGTAAATATTACCACTAAAGTATTAAGTGTTATGCTTTACGTTCTCATTTAATTTCACTGTATCTTCCTTCCTTATGTTATATTCATATTTAATAGTGACTCATAAAACTTTTATAAGTCTTCAAGTATTTTCCTTTTCTTTCAATCTGATTTGTAACTTGTAAGCTTTAAAACAATTTTAAAGGTGCTAAATCACTATGATTGTAATTCCCTCAGAATGACAGTAAATGAAGTCCCGTTGTATTTGGTTGGATTTAATTGAGTAGATATGTATAGTCTTATACCATAAAAGCACAATCCTAGACATCTTGACTTACTTGTTTTATGTACCTTCAATTTGACTGTATCCTTTGGCAATCCTGTCACATGTTGTTCTTGTTTAAGGGAGGTTTAACTATTCCTTCTCCTGAGACTGAGAGGGACTGCATCCTCATTGCAGAAATAATCCAGTCTGACACCATTTTAACTACCATGGCTCAATGTGGATGCAGCCAGAGGGTAACTTGTCCAAGATTAGGGATTTGAACCCTCATCTCCCAGAGACCTAATCCAGCATGCCAACTACTACATCATACTGGCTCTCTTGTTTACGAAGTGAAGTTAATTAAAAATAGTTCATTTTAGTCACAAGGAAGTGTGCATAGACCTGAAGTCCTGTATGAGACTGCAGTCCTAAATATACTTACCAGGGAGGTCTATTGAACTTGGTAGGACTTCTGTCTGAGGAAAAATGATTAGGATGACCGTTTGAATTTTCTCTCTCTGAATGTATGAATTAGCTTAGAAGTTGGTAGAAAGTAAATCAGGTTCTAGTGGTAGATCTCTAGATGATATACAGAAGATTTCAGATTTCTACTTGTTTAAAAACAGCAATCCCCAAATGGCTCCTCATTACCCCCAAATTACTGTATTTTTTTGGCATATAAGACGCTCCGGCATATAAGACGCACCCAAT